CATTTATAAACAGAAGTTGAAAGATTAAACAGTTGTAATAATTAATTAATATTAACTATCCACTGTCCAACGCTATCCCATGTTGCAACAGGCCCAACCATCCACCTAAGCTATCCAAATTCAAAAGATTACACTAGGGTGAGACTAATCACGGTGAATCTGGTTGACCGCCCATAACCGCGGGCACGGCTATTTGAATAGTTTTACTCTGATCAGAGGTGTACAACTGTACCCACAAGACACAGCCCCACGACACGTTTCCGTGCGCTGACATGCCACCATGACATACCGGAAAGAGGTCGTGACAGGACCATTAGCATAACCCCCTCTAACCAAGCACACCACACCTCAGGTTTCACCCCCACTCCTCGCAAGGCAGCGGGCAGTCCCCTCTCGTGCCTAGGTGAATCCGGAAGCCGCATAGGCCGTCGCAGGGCCCATCCAAACTCCATCACGCCCACCCTTGCCTGGATGCGTCGGCTAGAGGAAAGCTACGCTACAAGCCCAGCCGTTGCCCACGCTGGCTTGTAGTAAGTACGATAAGTTCTTCCAGGGCATCCCGCGAACCGGTCCTTAGCTGCCATGGGTGCGACCAGCAAAACCATGCACCCACAGCCCACCATGTGATTTATTTTAATTAACCAACACCAAAGCGGTGGCACTAATCCAACAATACCATTAGAACCGACAGTCTAAACATTAATAGGATCTTCCCCATTTGTGAACTAGTTGAACTAAGCATGGCTAAGCAATCCCTAGTCCAATCTCTAGTCATGTTATAACCCCAAGCTGACAAAGGGACATGGTACAACAATAGCATGGCTATGACAATAGGTAAACATCCCATAGTAACATTATAAAACAATGCAATATTTGAAAGAAAACAATAGAGCATTTGCAATATAGGATCAACATGTTCAAGTGACAAGCATGACTTGCCTTGCTCTGCTGCTGGAGGAACCTCGGCGACTATTTCGAAGTACACCGAAGCGTCGGGGGAACCGGAATCTAGCGACATACAAGGCAAACATTGCAAACAGACTATAAGACTACTGAAACAGGGAACAAAACCATTTTTAATGGATTCTACACATTTTTCTTGATTTACTGAGACTTGAATGGGCTTAAACGGAGCTCGGATGAATTAGTTATGAATTTTAGAAGAATCACTGTGTTTATTACTATAAAAGAAAAACCTTAAATCATTTATTGCGCAATAATTCCCAGGGCTGACGTCAGCACGGAGGGGGGTGTGGTGCCGGCAAGCGGGGCCCACTGGTCAGCGGCTCAGGGGGGCGGTTCACCGTGGACCGGGACCACGCAGGTGGTCCACCGCCGGTCCACGGGACCGACGGCCCAGATCGCCCTCAGGCCGATTGGACGGGCGGCGATAAAGGCGGCCGCCGGGCTCGGCTCGGCATCAAAGCCGACCGGCCGGCCAGGGCTAGCGGCGACAGCACACGCGCGCGAACGCGTTGCCGGCGACGGCATCCGGCGGCGGAGGCGACGGCGCAAAAGCGATGCGAAAGCGGCGGCAGCGGACGGCGGCAACGACCGAAGGCGACGGCGAGCGCGAGCGGCGGCGACGCACGGGGAATCGGGGAAGGAAAGGAAAGGGGAGGGAGTCCTCACCGGAGGGGACGGCGGCGACCGGCGACGAGGAGCGATGGAGGGAAGTCGACACGCGGCGGACGGCGACCGGGACGACCTAAAGAACGAAAGGAAAGAGATAAGAGAGGAAGAGAGGGGCCATAGGAGACGGGAATGTCGGCCGAAGGCGGCGGACATGGCAACCCTCACCGTCGCACGATGGGAATGGCGCTCCGGCGGCGGACCTCGACGAAGGAGGGGTGGACGGGGTGGATCTCGGCCACGCGAACCCGACGGCGGCGACGGCGCGGTGCGGCGGCGAGCCTAGCGGCGGCTAGCGGCGGCCGGAGTAGCGGAAACAGCGGCGGCAAGAGGTTGCACGGCGCGGGAGCGATGGGAGGCTCGGGAGAGTTCGGCGAAATGGGGAAAAAGCGAGAGGGGGCGACGGCAGAGCTTAAATAGGGAGAGAGGGGGCCGGACGTGGCCGGGAGAGGCGGGATTTCGCCGGCCAACGTGGGGGAAGTGGGGGAGGAGAGAGAGGCAGGATTCGAAAATCGAATCCCGGCCATCTCGGGCGCGGGCGCGAACGGGAGAGAGAGGGGAGTGGGCGCGGGGAACGCGGCGCACGCGCGGGCGTGGTCGACGTGGCCCGGAGGAGGCGGAGACGTGGGCGCGGTGGCGCGGCGGGAGCGGCGGGAGGTTGGGGAAGGACCCGACAGGTGGGCCCCACCTGTCGCGACCCCGGGAGAGGAGGGAGGGGCGGCTTGGCTGGGCCTCGGCCTGCGGCCGGCCCAGCAGGGAGGAGGGGGAGGAAAGGAGAGGATGGGCCAGCGACCCATTCGAAAAAGGGAGGGAAAAAGAAAAAGAAAAAAGGAGAAAAGGATTTTCCCTGGAATTAAAATATTGCTTGCTCCATTTTAATTGGTTAAAATTATTTCAAGAGCTCTGAAAATTCCACTAAAAATCCTGTTAGTGAATTTCGACATTTAGAACTCAAGAAAAATTCCACATGCCAATTCCGATTATTATTTGCATTGATTTAAAAGGGGTTTACTCTTGCTTTGCACCGGTATTTTCTTAGGGTCATTTATAAATTAAATTTAGGCTTGGGAGGAGAACTTCGGGGTGTGACATTTAGCCACCTTGATGGTATGAAGGTTGAGCCATACTTGCAAAAGCCACCAAGGGCCACCAGTGCCAATGACAGAATCTACAGCAATCTTAGCCGATGCAGAATTCAGAGTTTGATACAATGAGCCTAGCAGATATTTGCCCAAGGGGAATTGCTTCTTGTCTACAAGGGCTTTGGCTATGTGCTGCCAGTTGGTAGTAGGGCCACAACTTGGACCACAGAACAAGAACTTTTCCAACCACATCATTAGAAAGGCTGTGTGTTCCTTAGGGGTTACAGAACCAGTTCCCATGTTCTGGGTGATGAAGCCAATCCAACCTCCGATGCTCCTAGTTTTGTAAGAGAATTTGCCCTTGGTATTCATACTAACTGGGTTAGCCGATGATGTGATGTCTAAGTCCATGATCATGACTATATCCAGGAGAGTTGGTGTTATTGGTCCTTGGTTGAATAAAAAAGCATTCAAAGTATTGGACTAGAAATAAGCTGCAGCCGATAGCACAGGCTCATCTCTATTCATATCGGCTACAGTGAGGACTAGGCACTGTTGACAGTCGTTATCGAACAATTTCGACCGTCCATATTACCCAATTAATGAAGACTAGCTATGCTTGCAATGCATAAATTCCAATTAAAATGTCTATTTCCACTATGTACTATGCTACTAACATGTATGCAGGAGAAGCACATATAAATGGAGGAGAATCGACGGAAAGCAAACGAACGATCAATCGGAAGCCATCGAGAAGCAAACTTGTGGACAGATGGGCTAATAATACAGAATTCACACGAGTAAACAAGCCTAATAATTCACATCAGTGGATTGAGGAATCAACAAGAAGTCCACCTACAAAGTTGTGGGCTGATTGGGCTTGGCCAGGGTTCGGCCTGGTTCGGCCGAACCAGTAGCTAGCCCAATTAGCCCAATTCTTCATCAGCTGGTAGTTATCCTTGTCCCAAGGCGGTTATGACCGGTTAAACTGAAGAAACCGTCACTGGACACATGTCACAAAGAGATGAAGCTAAGGAGAATATGCTCCTTGGATGCTTGGAGCATATCCACTCTCCCAAGGCAACTCATGTCACACTGTTAACGACCAAATTTGGTAAATCAAGTATCGGAATTGGAGATAAAACCGAAGCAGAATCAAAGGGAATTAACAGTTTCGGAAATAGAGTACACATCGGCTGGGGTCCGAATCGGCTACAATCTACATTGGTAGAGTTTAAGTCGGACAGGGTAGCCGATGAAGTCGATTCCGACAATATGGCGATAGAAACATTGTCGGATTGGGTTGATATGCTTCATATCAATTGCCACGCACGGATTGAGTCCTAAGAAGGTAATTTGTATCTATTAATTAGGATATTTTATATAATTTTCTTGTACTTTGAGTCGGTAAGAGTCCACCTTAAGGACTTGTTTGTTTCCTAAGTTGTAATAGAGTTAGGAGTCGTGTCCGACAAGGGCATATCATGTATTTTGGGTATAAAAGTAGCCCAAAACCAGTGTAACAAAGTAACAATCAGTTCAATAACACTTTCGACGCATCGCCAACCTTTCACTTTCGTTTACTTTCGATGAGTTCTTGCTTTCGAGTTGGGCTGCATCAGTTTGATCTCCGACGACAAGGTAAAACTTGTTATGGCGGTTTGTGTTCTCGGGATTAGTGGTTCTATCTTCATGATACTCTAATCTTGTAATAGCCCTAGCTCATAACCAGGTATTTAGAAGTGCATTTGTTGTCTTTTAGATTGCATATTTACTATATTGCAATTTGATCATATGCGATAACAAAATTAACTCTAATCGGTAAAATTGAAACCACTTCTATTTGAACAATAACTTGAACAGAAGTGTACATGTTTAATAATTTATTCAAATACTAGTTTATTTATCACCAACAAATATAAATTTTGTGGAATTTTTCCTCTCTTTTTAGACCTCCTAAAAATTCAAACTAACTTTCAGATTAACTGAATTCACTTTTTCACTAGAATTATTTAACTCAACATTTTTTAGTGAAACCAATTGGATTAGAAAGCATGTTCCAAGACCCATCTCTGGACCAGAGGCCAAAATTTGAATCCCCTCCTAAGCAATTCGAATTAGCAGGTCATGAGTGAGAAGAGGGAATAAATCTTAGTTTTGTCTTTTCTTCTTGTCTCTTCCTCTCCAACCCCTCTCTCTTTGACATGTGGATCCCACCAGCAGTCCCTGGCCCACATGGCAGTGGCCCAACCCTCTCATACTCAGGGGACAAGCAGAAGAATAGCCATGCCACGTTTTGGCCATGCAAGGGAGAGAGACAAGTGTGACACCTCTCTCTTTACTCTCCCTTCTCCTCTAAGCTTCTGGCCACTTTCTCCACTCCTCCCACTCCCTTCCAGAGAAATAAACGCAAGGTGAGAGCACCTCATTTCGCCCCCATCTTCCTTCTTCCTCCTTGCTGGCCGAGAGAACTTCGTCGTCGCCGCCGTGTTTCTGGTCGTCTTCTTCGCCGTCCAACCCTCGTTCCCTGCTCTCCTATGCATGCCCTAACTCCCCTCAAAATTTCATCGATTTTCATGCAGTGAATCTCTGGGAACGCACATCTCTTTTTGGAGCCCCGGAGCGCGGCCGGTGTCGTCGCGTCACCCAAGCTTCCAGTGTTCCCGACGTTCCAGGCCGAGATACAGGGTGGTGCTGCTCATTCTAATTCATCTTCCTCCCAGATGTAACACCGTCAAGAATCAGCCCAAGCCGAGCTCCAGGCGTGGAGAACGCTCGCCTTCTTTCCTCAGCCCCGATCTAGACACGTTGGCTTTGTTCCTCCCTGTCCGGTGAGCTCCAGATCCTTTACCTTGGCCAAAAAGACTCTGCATGCAATGTTCTAGCTCATTCAAGCGTTTATTTGGGGTTTTTATGGCCAGATCTAGTCGTTCTCGGGTCCTCATCGTGTTCATTGTGTTGCCGGGCATCTCCAACGCCGTCGATGCTTCCTGGACCTCTCCGACCCCTTTCAGCTGCACGGTGAGACACTGCATACCCCTGAACACCCCATGCATGCACCCATATAGCCCATTCAGAGCTGTAGCTCGACACGCATGCACATACCAAGAACCACCGCCGCTGTAGCTTGTTTTTCGCGAGCTACAGACCACCGCTGTAGCTGTAGCTTGTTCATCAGCGCGGACACCTACGTGTTCGCATGGTCCTCCTCTACAGTTTCTCTGTTGAACTCGACCCCATCCGAGCCTCCGTTCGCCGTCGGCAAGCTCTAGACTGAGCCCAGCCATGGCTGCCTCCCCGTGAGCTCGAGCCAGGGACCTCATCGGTGAATTAGATAAACTTGAGGGTTTTTTCCCAAAAAACAGACCAAGACACATAACACTGTAGCCTTGACCACTCTGTAATATTCAGGAAGTTCGAGGACTCTTAATGGAAAACTGTTTTCAACATGTGCTGAAATTGTACTAACTTCAAAAATGTGTAGAAAATTCATCTGAACTCCGTTTGAGCTGAACCAAATTTCTATGGATTAATAAAAACGTGATCTACAATGTTGTAAAATAAAAATGGCTAACTTATGTACTGGTTTTTCCTCTAAAATTGTGAATAGATCTAGGTATCCTTTTAGTAGTCTAGATCTTGGACAATGCATAAGTAAATATTGGAATATGATAAAAATATAAAATAATTTTGTTGAACTTGTAAAATGGTACTCTTCACTTCTGTGGAAAAGATCTTGACAAAACTACCTCTTAAATCATGCTTAGAAGTTTATTTAGCATTCCTATGATTTAACTTGTAAAATCCATAAATAAATAATGACAACACTTATGGTTGTGAAATAATTTTTCTTAGGACCTGTGAGTGATGTACTTTACTCTAAAAATAATCATTATTATGAAATCTTGGTTTGAAATGCATGTTAATTGTAATGTACTCCCTCCGTTTCGAAATGTTTGGCACCGTTGACTTTTTAAGTATATGTTTGACCGTACGTCTTATTAAAAACTTTTGTGTAATATGTAAAATTATATGCCTATATAAAAATATATTTAACAATGAATCAAATGATAGGAAAAGAATTAATAATTACTTAAATTTTTTTGAATAAGACGAACGGTCAAACATGTGTTAAAAAGTCAACGGTGTCAAACATTTCGAAACGGAGGGAGTACTAAAGGAAATATTAATATTTACAGAACTGCCATGTTCAGTACTGAGAGCTTATCATTTTCATATCTCCCAAACCATAAGTGATAATCTGTTGATTCTTTCACCTAAATTCAAGTTAAAATATGATCTACCCACTGTATTTATTTCATAGTTTATTGATCATTTTGCATGTGCATGTTTACTTGGCTCTTATTCGTATATTGCTTCTTTTCGATAGATTCGGAGATTCTGGAGAGTAACGAGCCATATCCAGAGGATGATAGTGACTACCCTCAGCAGCAAGGCAAGCACCTAAGCATATAGAACCTATACTTTCTCTAAAAATGATTTGGTTGCAATCTATACGTATATATATGCATGCATTGCCTAGATATTAATATTATCGGTTTATGGTGTATGGGTAGAACCTATTTATGCATTTAGTTCTTGTGATATTGCTGTCCTTATACCCTACTGCCACTGGTCACATCATGCACGCACGTGACTAAGTCGTCGGGAACCCCAGCATGTTATAGGTGGTTGGGGTGGGGCTAAGAATGGGCATGTAATGAGCTTGAATCACTTGTGTACCACACTCGACGGGGTGTGTAGCATTTGATCTTTGTTCATTTCATGTGGGTCCAGTTGTACACCTCTAATCAGAGTATAATCTATTTGAATAGCCGCGTCCTCGGTTATGGACAATGCTTGATGTGTTAGTCAGTTATGTTAGCACCAAATATGGATTATTATGGATGGGATTCTATTTGATGGTGGTGTTGCCATGTTGTGCCATGTTGGTATGGACTTTGGTAGTCCATGGTTGATAATGAGAGCGCCGTTTGGGCTCATTTGCTTATACATCTCAGAATTATATACTTGCTGTCCATAAATAAAAATGATGCTAGATTTACTTGTCCTTACTTATTTTACTCATTAATTGCTCAATAAAATTAGCTTTATGCAAATGTTGAACCTAGAGACCCACTGTTGGCTAGAAAGCTTGCATACTTCTCTCTCCCTTATGTATATTTAATTTTGGGTAAGACTTGCGAGTACAATCTTGTACTTAACCCGGCGCCGCTGTTTCAGGTGAGGATACCGGTTATGAGTTATGCTTCTTGTGTGGTCATTGCTCTGCCGAGGGCGGCGAGGGCGATGAGTGATCTCTTGCAGTTTGGCTCTTGCCCGGTTGGTTTGCCCTAGTGGGGTTGTGGCACCACCGGTTTTATCTTTTGCTTATGAACTCTATTTGAGACTTTCGCTGCTATATTTATGTGTTGTATGTTGGGACCTCGGACCCTATTATGTGTCATGTATCTTGCTGCACTTAAACCCTATTATGGTACTTGCTATGTTTACTAATGGCTTGCGATGAAAGTGTGAGGCTAGTCGCATTCCTGGGGACTAGCTAAGCATGAGTAACAGGTTTTGATCGCTTGAGATACTTGGGGATAGCGCTTTTGGATCGAGTTACTGGGGTATGTTTTTGGTCGCCGCCTTCATATGGTTTGACGAGCATATGACGGAGTGGACTGGCAAGCTATCTTATGGTTATCTCTCGCAGTCACTACTCGGCATTCCGGTTATTATAGTAGAAGGTGTCAACTGTGATAATGGACACATTGAGGATGAGTGGCTATTTATGCGTGTATAGATCCCACTTCTCCAATAGTATGTGGTGGTCGCGTTGGACACTGGATGGTATAATACTAGGGATGTCCACAAATCTTGTTTATGTGAATCGTCAAGTTATCATATATTCTATATAATCTAGATCAATATTGCTATCTAACCTCAAATCGGCTAACATCTATCACTGGAAGGCGGCCGATTAAGCTAGATCTCAATGTTGACTTAGATTATATAGCATATCCACCACTCTATGAATCATCCAATGACTTGATTGTCTAGATATTGTTCTTCTTTTTATACTTAATGTTGTATCAGTTAAGTTTGATCTATTAAGTCGTGTTTAAGTCGTGTTTAGAATTATAATTTCTAGCCTGTTAATTGGTTGCCGATTAGGGTAGTATCGGGGTTTCAGCCGATCTTACCTTATTTTATGTTTACTTGATATGCTAAATATGCCCTTTATATTAAGATATCACTGTAATTAAATATATTAAGCTTGTTATTGATCTGTTAAGTCATCTTAACACTTGATTGATCTCTATTTAATATATTTTGTTTATATTGTTATCTTAGTATAAAGTGGTATCGGAGTATTAGCCAATACATGTTAGATCTAAAACACCGGCTATGCTATGAACATATATAATATCTGATTCAAGTTACTTTTAAACATAAGTGATTTATACTATCTCGGCAAGCTGTCCGATCTATCCCAATCACTTAGTTTAAATATATCTTGAGGTATATATTATATACTGTTGATATCTATAGCCGATCGACTAGGTCTAACCTTCCTTTTACCTTATATTTCATTGCTGATCTAATTCACGTTACATCGGCTAAGTTACAATTGATATGTCATCGGTGACTGCCCGATCGGCTATCGTTTATGGATTTAAATGTGTTTCTTTATTTCTTGTTCGTTGCAGGATCAAACCAACTGGCATACCCTCGAACTCGAAACCAAGATTTGGACCTGCACTAGAGTTAAGCATATCTCAGGCCGGTGTGTGTTTTTCGCATCAACACACACCCTGATTTTCGTTTCAGGATTTATAAATTATTTAATAAATTATTTCTACAATTTATATTAAATATTCATTAATTTACAAGTAAAGTTAAATGTGGGAAATAAAATTTCCTAAATGTTAAGAATGGCTAGATTTAATTTTTATTAAATTCTCTACGATTAATTATACTCTCTGGAATTTTCTCGTATTTTTCGGAGCTCAAATCCTAATTTTAATAATACAAAGAGCATTTTAGCAATTATATAAATACTAAATCCTAATTTTAATCATTAAATGGTCTGATTATAATTTTGTTGAATACTTTGAGTGTCCAATTATTTTCAGGATTTTTCTTGGAATTATGTGAGCGTTGGAAGTATAGTTAATAAATGAAAGATCATTTCAGTATTTATTTAAATTGAAAAAAAAAATCAAAATCCTCTTCTATGCCTTGGGCTGAATCTGGCCGATCTCTCTCCTTCAGCCCTGCCGATCCAGCAGCCCTCTCCCTCTCTCTGTCGTAGTCTGATTCGCGTCCCTTCTTCAATCGGGCCTAGTGAAGGAAACCGCAGAAAAAGTCTAGTGTGACTCCCTATCGCTACAGTGCCTTCTTCAACCTCCAGCCGCCCAGCCGAGCTCGAGCAGCCGCCGCCCCCTCGCCAAATCCGATCTCTCCCGTGCTTTGTTTCAAAAATTGGTTGAGGGGAAATATTTCCCATATCCTCCTCCTTCCATTCCCCAAGATTTGGAGTCCAATTTTGCATGGATTAATCAAATCAAATCGGATTCGAATTTCTCTTTCCTAATCAAACGCTAATCCTTCCATGTCGCCGCCGGCTTGCCATAGCCCTCCCCGGTGCCTCTTGACCCATATAAAAGGACCCCCTGGGACTCCTCTACCCCTCATCACCTCCACCTTCGCCCGCCGCCCCCTCTAGCGCCGTTCCCGCGTCGTCTTTTGCGCCGCCGCCGCCGGAGCTGCTTCAGCTGAGCGCCGCCGTAGCCTCGGTCGCCGCAGTCGCACGGGGTTCACGTCCACGGGTTCGCGTGACCGTCGCCGACATCGTCCCGCCCTCCGTTTGTGCCGCAACCCGCCGGAGCACCATCGCCGCCGACTACCCGAAGGCCGCCGCCGCCAAAACCTCGCCGCCGTCGCCGTTCGTCGTCAATCTCGGCCGTTCTAGCCACCGGTGAGTTCGCCGCGTTGTACTTTTCGCATTAGTGCCCTCCGTTCGCGCCCTTATGCCCTAGATCGCTGGCGAACTTCGTTTCCCGAGCCACCGTCCTTCATCCTCTTTTTCCTTTTATTTAATACATTAATAAATTAGTAAAGTCTTTTCTGTATTAGGCAAAAATCATATTAAACTTAGAAAAATCATATCTAATTCATTATAACTCGGATTAATGTGTTTCAAGTTGCTAAATTTGTATAAAATAGAGATCTATATTAAAATTACTTATAAATTGTGTTGTTAATCTGTTTAATCCTTTTAAATAGGTTTTAATTGTATTAAATCTTGTAAAATTCATAATTAATCCATTGGAAGTCAGAATGAGGCCGTTCAAGTCTCATAATTCATCTAAAATCATGGTCTACATGTTTATTTACTTTTTACGTACTGTTTATTTGGAGTTCCTTAGTTTTTTTCCTCGTTTTGCGTATTAGTTTGTCGTTTTCGTCGTTTGGAAGGATCATGAGTGCATCGGAAGTGATCCAGAAGACTAATTGAAATTATTGCAAGGCAAGTCACACAGATACTAAACACAATCCTTTGAGCATGTTGAACATATAATTAAATTCTCTTTTTATTTCAAATATGCATTTATTTTCGAATGTCATTGGGTGGTGAGCCTTTTCCCTATATTATGGCCGAAGATTTATTTTCCTGTGTTATAATTTGACTAGCTTGGGCCTTATATATTGGTTCAGCTAGATATTAGATATAATTGCTTAGCCATGCTTAGAAGTATTAGTTAACTATTGGGGATAACTAATGCTTCATTATTACTTAATGATTGCTATTTAATGTTTGCACACGGTGGTCAATCGTGTTTGGTTAATTAATTAATTGCCAATTAAAACTTGATTAATGGTGGGTTGTGAGCACATGGTTTTGGTGGTCGTGCTCATGACAATTAAGGACCGGTTCGCGAGCTACTGTTGTGAAACATTAACCATGCCAACCACAAGCCAGCGTGGGCAACAGCTTTACCTTTTGTATAGCATAGTTTATTACGGGGCAAGAGACTGAGAAGTGGTGGAGATAAGCCCACGGGGGTCACTGAGGAGTCCATGCCTTGTTTTATAAAGGGGTGACTACGATCCAGGAACGGTGCGCTGTGGTGAGTTGTGTTGTATGGGGTGTATTGTCACAGCTCCTTTCCTAGGTACCATGATGGTATTGACGCACATGGTGGGTACGGTGGTACATCTCTGTCCAGAGTAAAATTATTCGAATAGCCGTGCCCGCGGTTATGGGCGGGTTGAGCAATGTTTTTCGTGATTAGTCCCACACTACTCACTAATGTGAATAATGTGATACTTGATGATTATTAAGAATGCTAGGTCTTTTGCTGTGTGTTACTCTACTCTTGGATTATTTTAACCCCTATATAGACCTTGATGTACACAACTAATATATAAATTATTAGTATAATTCTCTCTTATCATATCTTCCATTGGGATTAAATACGATACCTTAGAATACTTCCGGGTGAAATGCTACAATGGTACATTCGTGCGCTTGCGGATCATATCTGTAACCATAGTATACCGGGATTATTTCTAGTGCTATTGCTGAGAATTATATTTCCAGTACTGTCGCTAAGAAATACCAACAAGCATTTCTAGCGCTGTTGTCGGGGAAGATAAATCATTCAGAGTTTACTACTTGCTAATAATTTTATATTTACCTCTGTATAATCACTATCCTATGTAGGCAAACCTTGTATGTTTTCTCTTTTATGTGAAAACAGGGTAGTACAAGACTAGTTCTGATCTGCCAACCAATTTCAATCTTGAGTCACTTGTGGAGCGAGCCTCGACCCCGTGTTGTCCCTCCTCAAGTTACTCTATCAGCAACCAGACCATCCATTTTCGTGCCACTAGAGTTTAACGATATGGCTGGGAAGATCCTCCGCAAGTTCGCAGCTCCCTCCGCCGACAATGTGCCCGTTGGACCCTAAGTCAGCATGGGAGATGGTAACTTTGAAGACCAGCCTAATCACGATGGCGCAGGTTTACCGGTTCTGTGGCAATCCTAACGAGGATGCAAGTGCTCATATGCAGGAATTGCTGAAAATCTGTAGCACGGAGTCACTCCAGACACTATCAGGCTCCGACTGTTCCTGTTCTCCCTCCTCGGGAAAGCGAAACAGTGGTTCTACGCCAACTGTGCAATTGTGAATATCCGGAATAATTGCTCAACGACATTCCTCTCAAAATTCTTCCCGATGGGTAAGACCAACGCTCTTCGTGGAAGAATATCCAGCTTTCAGCAGCCGAAGGATGAAACAACTCCTGAAGCTTGGGAAAGGCTGCAGGAATATGTCACCGCCCATCCTCATCATGGGATGGACGAGTGGCTCATCCTGTAGAGTTTTTTCAATGGATTAACCCCCTCATCTTGGGATCACCTAGACACTGCTATTGGAAAGACATTCTTCTTAAAGACGGTCAGAGGTACCACCGAGCTGATTGAGAAGATGGTCTCAAATATGGGTTGGAGCGAGGAACGACTCCGAATCCGTCAATACGGTATGCACACCGTCAAGAGGACGGAAATGCTGGCCACTCAGTTGG